ATTCGTCCCGGGGCCGCCTCCCCGAGGGACTCGCGGCCGGGAAAGCGACGCCGCGCCCGCGGTCCCTGAGGGCAGCGCTCGCTCCCCCCTGACGGGGCCGCGGGGGCGCAGAGGGGAAAGGCGCTCCCTCTGTGCGAGGTTCTGCCGCTCTGGTTTTGTTTCGGCTGCCTGGCCACGGTTGATTTGTGCGTTGGATTGTCACGCTGTCAAGATGCTTTTAATTTAAAAAAGCTTTTGGTGGTGTGGCACCAGCCTGATACTCGGGTATTTTTAATAACAAGATCGGCTTTTAAAACCTGGCATAAGCAGATGTTTTGTAATTTGCTTTTTAATGTGGAGAAGCGGGGGTTTGGTCTTAATTCGATTTAGAAATCTTGCTGCAGTTTTCCCAAGCTAAATCCTGAACCAGGATGGTCCCAGCAATGGCACCCATAAACTTAGCATGACCAAACAAAAAAGAGAAACGTTTTCCCCTTAGAATGAATAACATAAACAAAGGTAACTGAGAACTGAAGAACTTCAGTATTAGCCATTTATATATGCCTTTAGAATGTGATTCCTAAGAAGTAAGTGTACCGTGCCAGTTGTTAGATGTATGTAGTTGACATCACACTAATCTGTTGATAAAGCTACAAGCATGCTTAATGTGAAAGTGCTGCAGCTCGTCTTGGCACTAAAGCTTTTGCCTAGCTAAGTGCCTCTGGTCAGCATGGGCAAGCTCCAAAACAACAAGAAAAGAATTTTCTCAGATTGTGCAGCAGCAATCGTCTCTAATATCCCACTCCCCTGGATCTCCAATGAGAAGAGAGCGAACAGTTTTACAGTTGATATTTAAAGCAAAAAAACATTCTTCCCATCCTAAACACTGAAGTACGTTTTCTCCCTTCTGTGCAGCTGGATTTTGGATCTGGGAAACGTGTGATACTTTCAGTAATTTGTAGCATGGCTTTTGAGGGTTGAGAAGCCAGTTTTGGGAGTCTCTTTTTAAGTATTCTTCTTTTAAGTTTGAAATCTAGTGTGGGATGTTTTTTGTGAAATTTCAGGAACAATACTCTGATATTATTTTGATCTCTACTGTCTCCTTTTCAGCGCAGACACTGGGGAAGCTGATAAGCAAAAAAAAATCCAGTGGAAAGTCAAAGAAGATGATTTTGGAGAAGCGGCATCACCTGCGGTAAGTGAGGAGCAATGTTGGGGGAAGGATGAAGTGAGTCAGCATGACACAGATGTGTCCACTTGGAAACCACAGCAAGATCTTCCCACTGCACTGTGTGAGCCTCTTTAAAGCAAAATCCAGACAGATTCTGTTTCTCTATAAATCTTTCCCTTCTTTCCATTACTAGTTGGGTATTGTTGGCTTTAAGCCACCTGATTTTACTATGATTTATTAACTGCTATGCATTATATATGAGATTCAGGTTTACTGAAGAGTTACCCTTATGGTCAATGTTGCATACAAATCAGCTACTGTTGGAGAGGTTTATTGCATCTTATGCAGCTAGGAGTTTTGTTAGGCGGTGTTAGAATTTTTGATTGGTAGAACAATACATTTAAAAAATCCTCATCTGTATTTCACGTGATACATGTATTACAGAGAGTTCATCATATAGTGCTGTTTGTATTATGATCATTCTTTAAAACCTGAGTACTTAGGGGTGGGAAGATGGGATGTGGCACACTGACATTTCACCAAATTCCTAATTAGGACATAAAGTTACATAAATTGTTGTTTATACCAAAAGAGAAAATGTTCTATTGTGTGTAAATATGACTTGCAAAAGTATCTGTGATTTATATGTTAATCTGGCACATTTGAGAGATGCTGCTGCCTGAACAAGTTGCGCTGTTGTAAATTGCTCACTGTAAATCTTTCTCACATGACTTGGTGGAAGCCCTGAAGTAGAGTTTGGCCTTTGGTTATACCCCGTTGGTGATTGTTCCAAGGATGACCAGTGTCTCTGTTTCAACACCAAGTATTGTTTTATGACATCTTTGTTTTTTCATTTGCTGCATGCAGATTAGACGTGATCTAAGGATGAGTAAGTAAATCTAGGGGGGGCATGGGGGGAGAATAAAAAGGTTAATTTTAAACTCACTATAAAATAATTTTAAAATGTGAGCATTTTTCAACAGTTTGGGAATTTAGTGCAAAGGGTTGAGGGGGAAGAGCAGGAAGAAGAAAGAGCTTATGCCTTTTTTAATTAAATAGTACAACAAGTTGCAGAGGCAGAAATTACCATAGGGATGTTAAAAGGACACTGTCAGGATAAGAGAGAGTTTCACCACACTTGAAATTTTGCAGTTATATTCAAACCATAAGCAGTGTAACCTTTTTCAGACTGATAAGTATTATGATGTGTTAGTGAAGAACGGAATTATTGTTAGGTAAAAGCCTTGTGTGCTACACCAGAGTTAAGCAAATATTCCTGATATTATTTCCTTCTAACAGATACTCCCAACAAACTACTGAAATATTTATAGACATGATCTTTTTATGTAAGTTTTCCTTATATTACACTCTGTTATTTAAAATTATTTTAGTAGTGGAAAAAATTGAAAGAATTAGCAACTTCAGACTTCTCCACCAAATTATGTTGCAAATGTAGACACTGTTCCTAGAAGGTAGTTTATAAAGAGCCATTTTATGAGAATATGAATGACAGGAAAAAGATTCTTACTTCTCAGGATATGAATTTGGTATCGTTTCATGTGTTCCAGATACAAATAGCCTGAAAGCTTCAGGCAATGTAGCGTTGACTTTCCTAGCACTATTTACTTATGGTTATATTGTTTCATTTTGTTTTGTTTTGTTTTTCCAGAAGAATGAAATAGGATGTTGGAAGAGAAAACTTGGGAGGGGGGAGGGGCTCTGCAGTAATGATATCTCTTTAAAACAATTTAAAATATTTAACCAAGCAGAGATTATCCAGGAAAGATTTCAGATTACCTTTTTAAACTTCTTTTGAGTTGTTTTATTTAAGGGATGTTTCTGCATTGGACATATATTTGAACATCGAAACGCTGTTTTCAGAAGCCTGTCTTAATTTTTACACAGATGAAAAAGAAGACATATTTTTAAAAAAAAAACCAAACAAACAATGAAACAGATTGAGTTTGTCTAAATGCAGGGCTAATTTTGAAATGCATTTTGCTCTTCTTTCATTGACACTTGGAGCTGATGCAAAGTCCTCTATCCTTGGTGAAGCAGACACTGTTCTACAGAAACAAACCTAATTAAACTGAGTGCTAGTTGTGGCAAGGACATTTAGGAATTCACAGAGTTCAAGCAAACAAAACAAAGCATTGGTTTTCAGATCTGGTCTCGATAACATGCTGCACAGGTTTTTTGCTGATTTTTTTTTTTTTGAAGGTTTTTTTTAAGAACCGTGGTTGTATGAGAAGGCAGAAATGAGGCAGTCTTTAATAGCGGCAAATATTCTAATTGTATGTCATTGTTTCTGTTTCTTCTCCATGTGTTCTTTAAGATAATACTCTCATAAGGGCAAGTTGGTGTAGAGAAATCAGATAAATAAAAGTGAAACATTTAACAGATGACTCAAATGATGTTGTTAGCTACTGAAATGATATGTCTTGATGAAATCATAGCACTGAGGCAATGTTTTGACTGACTTTTTCAGCTTCCTGTGTGAGTGACACAGTGAAAATGTCATGGCTTCTTACATTGGCATTTCAAACACTCCTTGTCAAAGTTAGTGGAAATATAGCATCCTCTTATGCCCTTGCCATCTGAGCATAAAAGGCAAGGCAACTCACCAGCTCATCTCTAATCTGCTTGCAGTCCTCATCCACTCCTTTGTATGTTTTCCTACTTTAGCCGTGCCAAAGAGTAAAAAATGATCCCTACTGAAATACAGTGAAAAGAGTATTTTGAGGACAGCACTAAGATCACAGGAAACCTCCTACCTGTGCTGGGAGGGTTGAAATAGATATCTGTGTTTCTTGAATGAATTAGAAAGTTATTATGTTATTGTTAGTGTGTTATTGACTGACCAGGACAAAAAAAGGAATGTATGGGTAAATATTGTGATATTGATATGCATTTGATTATAATCATGCCGAGTATAAAATTTTCAGCTCAGAGCATAATTGTGAAGTGTTCCAAGATAATCTGAAGTCATGGTGCTTTTTTAAGGCAAAGATATTGGCATCTGATATGGTGATCTTGTGCCATGATGTTGTCATGAGAGAGGTTACTATGTAGCAACAATTCAATATCATCCTTTGGACTTTTCTGATAGACCACTTAACTATCTCAGCTTTTCCAGTGATCATCTCATTTATCTAGGATTATTGCAGTGAATTTACTGTTTGGTTTTCTTCCAGAACTGAAATGTCAAGTCCGGTGTCATGTATGCAGTAGCTTTGTGCTGTGAGAGCTCAACAGATCCACCAAAAGCTGCTAGCAGTTGATCTTTGGATAGAGCTAGAAATAAATAAATCCTCTTTAGCAGATCAATATTCATCCCATTTAATGCTTGATGTGAAACTTGTGGATTTGAAGTAGTGATGCTGATGTACAGCTAATCGTTGAAATGGGCATTAGGGCTTTTATAGCATGGCAACATATTGTCAGACAGGAAGGAGAAAAGTGTTGAGTGCATTCTAAGGTGGGAGAAAAACTCTGTAACAATATTTAATTTAATGCACATTCATAATCCACGGAATGTCATACATTGCAATGATTTGCTAGATTGAAGATGAATACTGCACATCCAGTGTTTATTCCGGGAGTTTACTTCGTAAAGCAGATGATTCCCCCTTCAGTAGATCTTTCAGAGTCTAAATATAATCACCCAGTCATATTTCAAGACATAATTTTCCTCTTTAGTACTCTCCACTCAACTAGTGGCTTATCTTTCCCCCTATATAAGTACACGGAGTGTGTGCTTCCCACGGCACAGAATATATAAGTATTAAAGTATCTAGCAGTGAACTTGTGTATACATTTGTGTGGGTCTGTATTACTTGTTCATTAGTTTTCTGTCTAGAATTTGTATTGTACATATTTTTGAGAAAAAGGAGAATTTCCAGAGGAAGGATAAAACATCAGGATGAAAAAAATTCTGGGACTGTTTAAGAGCATATTTGAAAAGGTTTTGTGGGTTGGCTTTTTTTTTTTTTTTAAGATGTGGTTTAAAGAGTTTTTTCTTCCCCTTTAGTCTTCCTTAGTAATTAAATACTTGAGGCCATTATCTTCTTTCTTGAAATGAATAAATAAAAGCCTTGTTAAGTGAATAATTATACTAAACCAGATACTGGCAAACATAAAGAAAGTTGAGGGTTGAATTTTCTTCTGTGCCAAAACTATGCTCTGATCTTTATTGTCATATGTGTCACTCTAAATAGCTTTCTTAGGTTTTGCCACAGTGAGCTCTGGCATTCAGTTTCAGCTGCGAAGTTTCCAGATGCTGTGCTGGCCAGTATATACCTTGGTGAATCATTCCTGTAAGATGATGCAAGCAAAATGAGTCTCCTTGGCAGACCTCAGTCCTTTGGCAATTGTAGGAAACAGCCCATTCCTTTTTCAGCAGAGAGAAAAACTTCCGCTGCATTGAGAAGTCTCATTATCTTTAAAGGTGAAGCAAAAAATGCCATTGTTTTGTTCTCCCCTTACATTAGAGATTCTGTTATAAAACACATGTATGAATATTATGTAAAATGACAGAATATGTGTGTATCACAATTCTTTGCCACTACCATTAGTTCTTTGGCCAAGGAGTATCTTAAACCTGCAAGAGACACACAGAGCAACATGTGTTGATGCAATGTGTAGTGAACTTCTACCCCTCTGAACACAACTTGAGGGGCAGTAGGGCTGTTACCTTCCTTTATAATAGCAAATCTATATTCCTTTTAATAAGTCTTTCTGAGTCCAAGTTCGTGCAAAAAATCTGTGTGGGAGACCATGGGTAGGATTAAATTTATCTACAGAACAGTAAATCACTGGGAAGGAAAGAAATGCCTGGTTATATTTCATACCACGGGAGGGAGATGGTTTGGAGGGCACAGGCACAGGTAGTGACAGAGTAGGAACTTCCTGGGTTACTCTGTCTCTTTCAGTGAAGGTTAAATAGTCTGGTTAAACACTCTTCCAATCCTGCTTCAGTGTCCATGATAAAAAGTGGTGTGGACAATAGGTGTTTCCTGTCTTGTGAGGAGGGAATACTGATACAATTTTCTCATATTCACCAGCCTGGTTTTTTTTCTGATGCCTTCTTGCATTACCTGCAGTGCTATTGCTTGTTCTTTGTTGTTAAGAAAATCTAATCAAAATAAAAGACATTATATCTATAAACACTTCTGTAAGCTTAAAAATCTTCAGAACACGACAAGAAAAATTGTTTTTCTGTCCTATCATGAAAACAAAAAAGGTCAGGAAAATGCATGTCTGTTTTTTCCCAAAGAATAATAAAGGAAGAGCTTTGCTGCTCTGGGAGCTAAACAGAATGTTCTGCCCCATTGAAGAAGCAGAAGTGTGTCTTGGCACTATTAAAGACAAACCAGAACAAATGTACACCCAACCAAATGGAAAAATACGCAAAACAAACAAAAATCCCCAACCCATCAAGACCTCCAAACAAACAAAAAACAAGAAATCTGTTATTGTTGACACACCATATATTGTTCTAAAGGGAGAATGTACAACTTACTGTGTGTGGAAATGTAAGGTCTGGTCAATTTCTTACTGTCATATTCTCTTTTTTTAAAGTGGGAGAGGGGAGCTGGCTAATAATAGGAGTTCTGTTGAAAAAGCTAGCATTGACATCACATGGACATTAGTGACTTCTGAGGCAATGAGGAGTTTCCTTTATTGGTTTTACTGGGGGGTGGGGAGTTAGCCATGCTGCGACAAGGCTGGCCTGATCAGTGTGTGCAGGTAGATCATAAATTCAGAGGGAGAGAGAGAGAGACCCTCTGATCTCTCCATCATAAGAGGGTGTTTCACAGGAGAGCTGACCAAGTGACAGTCATTTGATCACTTCTAAACACAGTGTGTGACCTATAGAGGTCTGCTGAATGCTTTGAAGACTTTACATTTGTCATTTATATTTGCATATAACAGCCTGAAGTTAAAATAGGGGCCAAGACAGGGGTATAGGTTCACACATCCTTCCTTACTGCGCTGCCCATATGTACAGATGATCTCAATCTGTTGAAATTTGCAAACATGAGGTTCTCCACCGTGTGTAAGAGGTGGCCAGTCTGGTCCTAGATTTTGATCTGTTATTAATTATGTTCTCGGTAAATGTGGTTTTCACATCTATTAGTCACTACTACTGTGTTTAAATAACTGAGAAGAACCATATTTTAAAAATAACTTACTGATAATTTTAGCAAAGAGATAAAAAAATAGCTTTTTGGTTTATTTTCTGGATTTCTGAATCAACTCTTGCTCATATTGAAAAATAATCAGGTCCTTCGCCTTGCCTCAGTGAAGTTGTTTTAACTCTGATGATCCAAACCATGCTGTTTCTTCCCAATGCTGTACAGAGACTGGGGTTTCCCACTACTGAGGGTTTAAATCTGACCCTAGAAAAAGCCTTGACACTATGGTGAAGTCGAGGAATAACTAGGATTCTGCACTGTTCATTTTTTGGAGGGTTGGGGGTTAAGCATTCTTTGAAGTTCGACCTACATAGCAAATGTTTTGGTATTTTTTTTAAGTGGCTGTTTGCCAAATTTTTGGGTTTTTTTCATTCTGCTTTCAGAACGCATAGGCGGGTTGAGACAGGAAGCACAGCCTGAAAGGCTCGGCCAGATCCGGAGGGATTAGTTGCAGCAAAAGGCTGCTCTGTGATCCTGAGTTACTTTCTTAGTAGTATGGCAGAAAAAGAAAACACACATTCTTGTATGTGTCCAGATCTTCATGCAAAGCAAATCCAGCAGACAGATGGAAAATTTAATCACCCTGATAAGGCATTTAGGAACATTCTTGTCAATATAAATGCTGATGGTGGTGTCCTTTTCTTTTGGGCTTTAAGAACCAGGTGATTTTTATGAAACAAAGTTTCTATTTAACAGTAGTTTCCAATGATGACACAGCAATTACGTTTTTCTGCTCTGGCTTTTGGAAAAGCTTTATGTTTAAAGGGGAAATTAATAATTTTCGTTTAAGGTAGAAGTTCAAAGGTAAGTTTTCACGTAATTCAAGATGGGTTGAAAATGGATAGAATGTATTTCTCCTTTTTTTTTCTTTCTTTTGTTTAATTTTCCTTAATGGCCAGTGAAAGAAATTTCTTGAAAGTGCAAAGACCTTAAACTTTTGTGCCTAGCTTCTTAAGTGAAAAAAGGAAATCCTGAGCCTTTCTTTACATTAACACCTAGTTAATGTTAGTGTTTTGTACCTCCTTACAATGAATGTAAAGAAGTCCTTGGAGTTACCTTTAGATAAATTTCTGTATACACTAGAGAGTTAAGTTTAGGTTTATGTTCTTGCAGGCAAATGTTTCTTACCCAATTTAGCTGAAATTTTAATAAAAATAGTAAAGAAAGACAAAAAAATTTAGAAGGCTGCTTTAGATGGCCAACAAGACACCTTTAAACGGAAATAAGGAGAAAGCTTTGGTTATTTGGGGAGATGGGGAGCACTACTGCTGTGCTGCTGATGTTTTTTCCATTACTAAAAAAAATTTTGCATTCTTTCAGCGTGAAATGTAGCTTCCTTGTACTCTGCAATTTGTGTAGGTATGAAGGGAACCTCCAGAGATGTTTCACCATTAGCAGTGATTGTAAAACCTTTGTTTTCTACATCAAGCTGCCCAAATGTCATTCCTAGTAAAACCTGTAAAAATAAGACATGATTTGAAATCACTGGTTCATGTAGAATATTAGCCATCTGGTTTTTTTGTTGAACTTCTTTAACTGCCATCGGCATAGACAAGTGATTTTATTTCTTCTGTTTTCATAGTCCAAATAAGACATGTGCTATGTAAATACTTGTATATAAATACCATATATTTGTCTTAAATAATGATCTCGTATTCAGAGGTCTAATAGTGAGGCCAACAGACTAAGCTGGCACAGAGGAGCAGGGAAGATAATTTGTGATACACTGGAAGAATGTCGAAAGACTCTTTCCCCTCCTCCTCCTCCGCAAAAGGAACGTGGTGGTTCTGTTTGGTTTGTTTTGCTGGGGGTTTTTTTCCGCTTTTGTAAGTCTGAAAACAAAAGGAACAGCAGAGGTCGCCCCTGCATGGCGTAACTCCTAAGGCTGTAGGAGCGTGGCGGTAGCGCTGGCAGAGGGTGACGCGCCTTGGCCGCCCCGTCCGGAGCCTCCCGCCCCGCCGGGCGCCGCGCGGTGCTGCTGTGCCGGACAGCGACAGCGGCACCGCGGCTCGGGGCTCTTGCGCATCACTAGGCCATTAGTTTAATTAGGTTCGGAATTAGGAATGGACTGCCCGGGGAGGTGGTGGAGTCACCTTCCCTGGAGGTGTTTAAGGAAAGACTGGATGCGGCACTTGGTGCCGTGGTCTGGTTGACAAGGTGATATTTCAGTTATAGGCTGGACTCAGTGATCTCAGAGGTCTTTCCCAACCTAATTGATTCTGTGCTTTGAATGTGTCTAAGTAAGCATTTATCACGAATACAGGTTATACATTTTTATAAGTAATGTGCTAAGAAAATATTACACTATGTATATCAATACATAAACTCCTGTCTTTTAGATATCTGTCTTCTGTCAGCATCATTTGCAGTCATTAAGTATCTTCCACCAGTGTTACGTCACACAGGATGCTCACCTTTGGATGCACTGGTAGGTTCACCTTTGGATGTTTTTGTAAGAATCTGATTGAATGTGACAGACAGTTCTAATGCAAACCTGAGAGGTAGATCTGGCATGAGAACATCCCAGAGTATCAGTTTTCAAAGATATGTTGGAACAGCCTTAATTTTTTAATTTGAGTTTGTAAAAGAAAATACAGCGTGCTGTTCAAAAGACCATGATACACCTAAGTTGAGACTGATCAGTTATTGGTTAATAAAACTTTTCTATTGCAGAATGACTTATCAGTCTATGTACTCATCTGAATGTATTTATCTTGAGGAGGTTCATAAAACATGCTCTGTTTAATGTTAGACACCTGAAAACATCAAGTTTCTTAGAGAAGGTCCCATATGTTTATAACAGAAACAGAATCCAAATGTGCTAACAAATAACACCAGACTATTAGTTTGGCCTTTACCTTTCCCCCTCCTAAAATTTTTGAAAGGATTTGACTTAGTCTTGCCATAGGGGAAATTGTTAAAGTATGAAAAATTTTCTAAGATAGGAATACTACTGCTTCTTCCATGAGTATGTAATGTTTATGAAAGATCATATGCAACCAGCTACCAGTACTGCCTCTCTGTTAATCAGGGAGAAAAACTGGGGGTCTCAAAGGCCATAAAAGAGTTAGGTTCCAGAATATGGTGAGATTCCTACACTTGTACATGCATTTAGTACCTGTTTGGACAGAAACATAGAATTTTTTTGTGTGTACAGGTGAGCATGTTATTTATGCAGAGGACTATGTCTGTGCAGATCAACCTCCAGGCTGTTCCCTGCAGGCAGGTGCATTCCTCCACCGAGCTCCACAAGTCTTACTACATCTTTCCATTTAACAGTTTTCATTGCTGTGTGAGCACAGGATTTGCCAGGATCAGAGGTTACTAGCACACTGCCTTTACTGCTATTTCACTGTGGCCTGAGTGAGCTAGTCTTGAAATCTGTCTTTTATTTCTCTTTTGTGTTATTGTTGGTGGGAGATTTATTTCTATCCTGTTCCTGCTGTCGTTATTTTATATAGGCTCTTGTTAGTCTTTTGTGTTTCTCATTTTCAGCCTCAGGTCAATTTAAGTCCTGTGACTCTAAATCCTCCTTGCTTCAAATGTAAGATTGTTCCCCTCTACATCTGTCCAAAAACTGTAATTACATCAGAGAAATTGTGTAATAATTTAACTGGCATGTGTTGGAGACAGATCTGTTCAATGTCCTTATTTTTCTTTTAATGTTACTAGCTTAATTTGGTGGTGTACTAATCCCTTCTACCTCTTTTCCCTCTGATGGATTTAGCTGTAGAAATTTATTGTAAGAGTCCAAAATTGTCTGCTCATCTTTACTTTTCCATCAGTCATTTGTCTGGTTTTGCTTCGAAATTTGTCTGTTGATTGATTGAAGGCATCTCATCTCATTAATCTTTCTCTGTCATAATTTGTACTTTTTATTGAGTAATACAAATTATCTAAGGAATGCTAATTCCAAAACTGAGCTGATGGTCCATTCTTGAGTCTTATTTAATGCAAAGACCTATTCCTTCAGCAGGTCTGGGAATTAACCTGTCTGGACTTGTTCCTGTGCTGTATCAGCACCCAGCAGGTCACAGCAGTTGTCAGCTCTCAACTCCACCATGTAATGAGGCAGTCACCCTGTCTATCCCTATACCACAGAGTCACGTGTTCTATGTAGATCTAAAAAATAGGTTTTTGTATTTTGTATAATAGTATCTGGTCCAATTCTTGCTCAGCCCTCAGATGTGCTACATCTGTAGCCCTGCTACACAAATCTAATGTACCATGCTTCTCTCCTTCATTGAAAGCATCATCAGCTGTGAGCAAACCCAAATCACACAAAGATCTTGTGTTGATTTTGCGCATTTGTAAAATGATAGGGGTTTGTGCATGTGCTTAGCTTTTGGGATATGAGTAGTTCCACTGAAGCCGGTGTAACTCCTCGTGTGTTTGACTTTAAACAAGTTTGAAAGATCAGATCCCTGGTGGCCAATTCTGTTCCTGATGAACAAGCAGAAACAAAATACAGCCTTCATGTCAGAGCTGCAGGACTAGTTAAATGCATATTGTTTTCACTAAAGTTGGTAAGTTTTAGAGCTTGGAGTGATTTTTTTTAAAAAGTACCTTTTATGCCGACCAGATTTGTGAGTAGGTTTAAATATTAAATTAGTTTACACAACAATTTCAGACTTATTGGTGGAAATATTAACTAAAGTTACAAGTCCTGAAACTTTTCAGCTATATGATTTAATTTCTGAAGCTTTGTCAATCAACTCGCTTCTGTCTATGGAAGCACTGAGGAGACAAAAAAAAAAATTTAAAAGCCTCTGAATTAATATAATGCCTTTTCATATCTCATAAGAGTGACATTAACCAAATTGGTTTTCAGGTATGTACTTCCTTAAAGTTAATTCCTTTTTGTTTGGTAAATTTCTACTATGCTTCAGATGTACTTTATGGTGCTCAATGCTCTTTATTTCCTGGTATTGATTGGTTGGGGTTTTTTTGTTTTTTAATTTTTGTAATAGCCACTTCACTTTCAGTGTGAATGCGGCAGCTGCCAGTAATTAATTCATTCTATGAACTCTCTGTTAAAATTAATCTGGTTTATCACAAAAAGTATATATGAAGATCTGTGAAGAGATGCATCTGTTCAAAATAATCTGAATGGAGGTTGTAGTGATGTGGGAGTCATCTCTTCTCCCAGGGAAAGAGCAATAGGACAAGGGGAAATGGACTTGAGTTGTGCCATTAGTTGTGGACATTTAGATTGGATGGTAGGAAAAATTTCTTCACAGAAAAGGTTGTCAAGCATTGGAGCAGGCTGCCCGGGAAATCAGTGGCATGGCCATCCCTGAAAATTTTCAGAATACTTGTAGATATGATGCTTGGAAACATGGCCTAATGGTGGACTTATAAGTTCTGGGTTAATTATTGGAATCACTAATCTTGGAGGTATTTTCCAACCTTAGTGATCTATGATTCTATGGAAAGGTTATTTACAAAACTTGCCTATTTCAACAACAATGGCATAGCTTTTCTTAAGGCACAGACGTCAGAATATAAATTATATTCAAGTTCACACCAGAAGCATCTGAACTTGATATGTCATCTTAATGAGTGAGATTTTTTTCCTATTTAAATTTCCTAAAAAATTCGAAGTGCATGTAAGCCATAATGTTTTGATGCTGACATTCCTTTGCTATTGGATGACAGATTGGTGCAACTCTATAAACAGTGTACCATGTAACATCTCCAGTGTTAAAATTAACATTTTTCTGATCATCTGCCATACAGAGAACACATTGATGATGACTCAATAAATGCACCTCATCATGTTATTTTCATTTCCTTAACCGTAAGCTTTACAATTTGCACATTTGTCTCACTTGAATGTAAAGAACAAATGCATAAAATGCCAATGTCCTAGCTCAAGGGTAACATGGAAATGAGTTGTTCCAGCTAGTGACCTGTTGGTTATATGTGTCTCATTTCATGTCTTGTCTTGCTAGCTTTGTATTAATATGTGTATAAATTATGTATAATGTAAATGTATTCATAGTTATTCCTTGAGGATAACAAAACAATTACTGGCATTGATATTTCTGACATATATGCCCTGGGAATGTGGAAAGTTCTGTTTCATGCTGCAACACTGGAAGTATTCTCAAAAATTGCAGCCAGCAAAAATGTGTTTTGATGTGTTTTCCTCTATAAAGAATGAATATGTGGAGATCTATGTTTCTCTCAAAGCATATTCCACAGTCAAAATACCAAGTTCATAAGCCAGTATTTCATTTTTCTAACTTGGTTTTAGGGGTTCAGTCTGTCCTATCCACCAGCAGCAGTGGTTCATCAAAGCAAACTGTCTTTGCTTGAATCCATGCAACCTTGATTTTATTTTGCATCCACCCTATAGGAGTCCATTTCTCTGCCACAAAGGATGACAAATGGGAGATAAAATATAAGAAATTAAGGTATGATTTTCTCAATACCCATCAGCTCTATAGTTTTCAAGAAATATTAAGTGATATATTAGAAGATCTCCTGGGGTGAGAGTTGGGATCACAGTGTGGCACAAGAAGCCCATGTAAGGTTGTTCTAACTCATATTCACTCATCTTTTCTCCATCTTTGTCACAATTCCAGACACAACAAAATTGCCACCAACTCAAGCCTGTTTTGTTGTGCACAATTTTGGTCACCACAATATAAGAAAGATACTAAACTATTAGAGAGCATCCAAAAGAGGGCAGTGAAGGTAGTGAAGGACCTTGAGAAGAAGCTGTGTGAGGAGTGGCTGAGGTCACTTGGTCTGTTCAGCCTGGAGAAGAGGAGGCTGAGGAGAGACCTCTTCACAGTTAAAACTTCCTCATGAGGGGAATCTGATCTCTCCTCTGTGGTGAGCAGTGACAGGACCTGAGGGAATGGCTTGAAATTGTGACAGGGAGGTTTAGGCTGGATATTAGAAAAAGGTCTTTCACCCACAGGATGGCTGAGGACTAGAACAGGTTCCCCAGGGAAGCGTTCACAACACCAAGGCTGAGAGACTTCAAGAAGCATTTAGAAAATGCTCTCGGGCATGTGGTGTGACTCTTGGAATTGTTTAGTGCAGGTGCAGTAGTTGGACTCAGTGATCCTTGTGGGTCCCTTAATTTTCTAGCTCAGCATCTTCTGTGATTCTGTACTGGGTACACCCTTGGAAGGCAAGGCAAAACAAACCCACATGAACTTCTCCCATGGGACTTAAAACCAGCACAGTTCTGAAACAATGTTTTTAGCTGAGTTTTGGTGCTCCAAAATAAAAGTTGTGAAGTGCTGCCATTTCTTTTGGGTAAATTTCATATGCTATACTACCTTTTCCTACAAACAAAAATCCCATTTTATTTATTTCCACTAGTTTAGCTTTATTATGTAAAATATTCTATTTAATAAATATACTGATTATAATTAATTAAGCTGAGATTAAATTTTATCAAGCTAAACT